ACCTGCCCCCCAAAACCTCTCAAAGCCACCCTCCCATGAATCCTCAGCCACTGCCTGCTCAGGGCCTCCAGCCACGGCGGTCCTCCAGCTCTGTCACTGGGGTGGCCTCCCCACCCCACCTGCTGGCAGACCTCCCTCCCCCACCTGACTCCTCCACGGCTCCCACTTCCCCCCTGAAATGGGAGCTCCTCCCACCCTCGTCCCCCCTGCAGGAACGCCCAGGGCCCAGCAGCTATGCGGGCCGGGCTCTGCAGCTCCTCAGATGTGCCATGTGCCCTCCCACCGCTGGGCCTTCACCCAAGACGCTGCCTCTGCCCCGATGTCTCCCCCCAACTGTCTGCCCAACAAGACCTTCCACAAGCCCTACCTACCCCACTCACCGCCCGCCTCCACCCTCCAGGACAGCACAAGCCTGCCTGCCCCGCCCCCACCTTTACCAGGAGAACGCCCCTCCCCCCTTTGGGCTCATCTAAGCAGCACCTCCTCCCAAGGAGCCTTCCCAAGTCCCGGTCAGTTGCCCCTTTTCTGTGCCAACAGCTTCCCTGTTAGCCTTGTCACAGCAGAGTGACCCCCCTCCCCACCGGTGCCCCCCGGACCCTGGGCTCCTTCGGGCAGCACTGTGCCCGGTGCTGTGCCCAGCACAGCAGGCACAGGAAGCGGTCGGTGAGCTCTCCCTACCTGAGAGCAGCTCCAGGCTCCTGCCCCGTGAAAGGTTCCCAGGCCCCTGACCCCGAGGCCTTCCCTGACCCCAAGGCTGCAAAGCCCACGGGTAGGCTGTGGGCGTGGGCTCAGGGAGAGGCCCGGGAAGTCTGATCTCTCCATCCGAGTCCTCGCCCCTCTGCGCAGTGGGCCGGGTCCCTGCTAGAGCCCAGGCGGCCTGGGACGGGCGTGCTGCAGGCAGGCGTGAAAAGGCTCCTCAGACAAATGAGGACGAGGGACAGCACCGCCACCACTGAGCATCCGGCCAAGTCCTGGGTGAGGGGGTCGCGGTGGGAGCCCTGGAGCGGGCGCTTTGATGCCGGCTGATTCTCAGGGCAGTGCTGGGTGGCACCGGTCCACGCACTTCCTCCAGCAGCCTGGGGAGGGGGCACTTCTGCCCCATTTTACAGAAAGGGAGGGAGGCACAGAGGGTTTGAAGGGAAGGGCCCTGTTTTGAGCCTGGTGCAGACTGTTCCCCTGACCCCTGCCAGGTGGTGTCCCCCCCCTGAGAAGGTTTCTGTAGGGGATCAAAGTGAGGCCGGGGTGGGGTGGGGGGAGGCTGGCCTCCCAGGCGTGTGGGGACCCCTCCGATGCTCACCTGGAGCACAGGATCTAGGCTGTGCTGTGGGGGAGGCAGGTCAGCTTTCTCTCAGCCAAGGAAACGGGGCCTAGGGAGGGGCTCCGAGGCCCTTAGTGCAGGCCGAACAGTAAGGACCTCGTAGGCGGGGACAGACAAGCCCTGACTGGCCTTGGCCTCAGAAGACGGGCTCGGAGCTCTGCACACCCCCTGTGGCAAGTCTCCCGGTCTCTCCGGGCTTCAGAGGGGAGGTGCCAAATGGCCTCCACATCCCTCCAGCTCACACTTCCTGGTCACAGGGCTGTGGCCCCAGCAGCACCAGGCCAGGTCAGAGGTTGCCGGCCAGAGTCAGGTGAGGTGGCGGGGAGGGCAAGCCATGGGTGACAGGCCAAAGGCCCACCAGATACAAACACACACGCACTCTCTCGCACACATGCACAAACATGCACACAGGCAAACACACACGCACATGCGCATGTGTGTACAGACATATACAGCCACATGCTCACAGGCATGCACACACGTGCAGGCACAGCCACATGCCCACACATGTGCATGCAGACACACATGTATGTATGCACCCGCACACACGTGTGCAAACACATGCACACATGCATGCACACACAGGTACACCCCTGCGGAGGACAAGAGGCTCACAGTGCAGACACCTCCGCCTGCAGCCTGGACAGGCAGGGAGGAGAACGGACGGTGCATCCCAAAATCTAGGAGTTAATGGCCGAGTTTCAGTTTGGGAAGATGAAAAAGTTCTAAAGACGAAAGGTTGCCCAACACTGTGAATGTTCTTAATGCCACTGAACTGTACACTTAACAATTTTATCTCCTGCATATTTTGTAACAATAAAAACAACTCCGAAACCTCAGTATCAACTTAGGAACGCTTTCCTCGAAGCCCACCTCCACGCCAGAGCTGCCCGGCGCCCCGAGGCTGCCGTAACAGGGCCCACGTCCACCGAGCTGCGGCCACCTGTCACCTGGCAGGGGAGGGCTGGCACTGGGCTCGCCATGAGGCACGGCAGACACAAGGCCATTCATACGGGACACGGCTGGGCGTGTTCTCCAGGCCCCGCCTCCTGGGCTGGCATTGCTCTGTGTGCTCAGCTCTGAGATCTCGCGGGGTTGCTGCCCATCTCAGCCCTGTGGGCCTTCCAACCTATTGTCCTGCTTGTCCAGGACATTCTCAAACTTAGTGGGAAGCGAAGGCCTTAGGAACTCTAGGCTGCCCCAGGGGAAGGAAGACGCTTTGGCCAGAGGACCCCCAAGGCCCTCCCCTCCCCACACGCACGAGCTCAGAATTCTGTCGCCTTTGTAGCCACACGGCACCGGCTCAGTGCGCCCTCACCTTCCCTTTCTAGAACCGGGAGCGGTGCAGGCCACGCGGCCGCTCACCCAGCTCGGGACAGCCCGCTGTGCCCGTGGCCCCCTCCGCCTGGCAGCCGGCAATCAGCAGGTGGGGGTAGTCACACCATGGACATTCCCAGAGCTGCGTGTCCGATATTTACCAGCTCACCACGGGGTATTGATGTTAAAGTACAGGACTCCGAGACCAGGAAGGCCACTCCATTTCAGACTTGTCAGAGAGCGCTGCATGCCCTGAGCGCAAGAGACTGTCCCACTCCCTCTCCACTCTTCCCTCGGCAGTGAGAGCCCACAGAAGCCAGCGCTCTGCGAGCCGTGCCTGCCCATCAGCCTGCGCCCTTTTCCCCACACCAGCTCTCCCGGGGACCCCCCTGCCAGCCCCGCCCACTCGGCACCCATGCTCCTCACAGAAATCTAGGAACAATGTCAGTAGAGACAAGGCCTCCTGGTTCACAGGTGGGAAACCAGCCCCAGGGAGGTGCCATGCACGTGGGCCATGCTGTGACACTGGGACGGGACCCGAGGGCTGCTGGGAAGTGTAGGGCCGTCCATCGTTTCAGGGGCTGTGCCCGGCACAGTCCAGGAGCCTCACTCATTAGAGACCTCAGTTCACTCAACCGTGGAGGCCATGACACGCGGAGGCCTCGAGCGCTCAGGCTAAAAGCAAGGTAAGTCCCTGTTCTCACTGGGAAAGTGCCTTTGCTGCTACTCTCACCTCCTGGGCTCCCCACACGCAGTCCCTGGGAAGCCTGACGCCCCGCGAACGGTGGGGGATCCACCCCCTTCCTGCTGGCTTTTCAGGGAAGAAGGGGGACTCAGCTCTCTGTGACACCCAGGAACCCGAGATAAAGCTTTGATGCAATTTTCGTGCATGTTTCTTCATTTCTAACATAAAGGCTATTTTCACTTCAGTAAAATTAAAATTGAACAACTGCCCCAAGTGGAGAGACTGAGGGGAAGCCTCCTTCTCTGCGGAGACCCTCAGCCTAAAAAATCAAGGGGGGCGCCCACCCCACTGGGGAGGGTCGTCCGGGTGAACATGCTTCCCAACACCCTCAACAGGTGAGAAACAACAAACAGAGAAAACAGATCTAGTTTGGGGCTGCTGCCAAGCCCACCCTGGCCCCTGGCCGGGTGCCCCGCAGACACCCTAGCTCACCTGACAATATTCTCCTGGGGCCATCACCCTTCCTGGTCGGGTCCCATGGCCTGTAGCCGACCTCAGACCACAGCTTTCCCCTGGGATGGGGGGGAGGGTGGTGCTGCTCTCCACCCAGAAGCTCACTCCCTGCCCAGTTGGGACAGAGCAGCCTGGTGGTGGAGAGCAGCCCCTGGGGCCAGAAGGCACACAACCCAGAGTCCAGTTGCAGCTGAAGAACTGCCTGGCCTTGGGCCGTTACGGCCCTGCACTGAGCCCAGGCCCCTCCAGATCATTTAATTAAGCACAAGAGAAACCTTTCCAATGATCACTGTAAGATGTCGACCACGGAACACCTCCTGAGTGCCTGGAGGTGACGGTGTAGAAAAAAGTGTCACAGACTAGATGACGCACAGCAGGTAAGTCCCCCTCTGCCACCCGCCCCCCCACACACACCCCAGCTTGTCTCTGTCTGTGAAGCAGGATGGCAACAGCGCCTCCCTCAGGCTGCCGGGAGAGCTGCATCAGTCAGTGACAGCAGTTCAGCAGGGTAGGCACCATGCAAGGCCACCTGCCTCCACAGGGCGTCATGACTGAGGCTGGGCCACAGGGAGCTCGCTGGGGGTGCGGGGAGGCCCATAGAAAACCCTGGCAGGTGGCACATTTTCATGGGAAAAGCGAGTTCTGGAGGCAGCCAGGTCGGGCTGGAGTCCCAGCAGAGCTGCTTGGGGCGTTTCCTTCGCTGTAAAACGGGGGTGAAGATGCAGATGGCACTGCTCCTCTGCAGGACTAAGTGACGTCATGGATGTATAGTCCTTGGCACGGAGCGGACGTTTAATGAAAGCACTTGGTCGTGTGGGTGGGTCGCCTGGTGCTTCTCCTCAGCATCGCCTAGCGATTGTCCATGTCATCATCATAGTTCAGGCAAGACCGGCCCATGGAAGACCCGGGAAAGGAAGGCAAACACCAGTGCCTTACGTTCTGGGCGCTTTCCCCGTCCTCCGTCCACACACCCACGGCCGAGGGGGGCGGGAGATGCGCGTGCTGGGCTGGGGAGAGCCATCGCGCCTGAACTCGGTCAACTCACAGCCCTTCCCATTTTGACCCAGCTCTGGCCTCGGCCCCATAACTCACTGATGACACTGGGTGGGCCAACACACATTAGCCGGCTGAGACGGGGAAGGACATGGTGGCTCCAGGGTTCCCATGAGGTCCAGGAGTGCAGAGGTGACTCGGTGGCCCCCGGGGGGGGGCACAACCCCCAAGGGCCGCCTGGCTGACCACTGGGCCCCTCGAGGTCATACTAAGCAGGGATGCCCACTTGTCCTGTAAGTTCTCTGCCTTTTCAAGCCAGACAAGTGGCCCATTCTGTGATGCGGGAAGGACATGGTGGCTCCAGGGTTCCCATGAGGTCCAGGAGTGCAGAGGTGACTCGGTGGCCCCCGGGGGGGGGCACAACCCCCAAGGGCCGCCTGGCTGACCACTGGGCCCCTCGAGGTCATACTAAGCAGGGATGCCCACTTGTCCTGTAAGTTCTCTGCCTTTTCAAGCCAGACAAGTGGCCCATTCTGTGATGCACTCTCCTTTCTTGTAGCTCCCCGCCACCGCCCCCCCG